GACTACTTTGATTGCACGTATGTCAACGGCCGCTTCTGTTATGCTTCTGTTCCATCTGCGGCGGCACCCAGGGCGAATTCTTCCCTTCGCCTGACTCTGCGCCGACGGCGATCGGAGTTTCCCCCGGTACGCTGGAATATATACGACACCGCTCTTCAAGATAAAGACCGGATGAACACCTGCAAAAGATAGAATATCGGGTTCCAGAAGCTCGGCGGCCACGCCCATCCAAGCGTCTGGAGGCTGATTGAATGCCTACAGCAAAATCAGGCGCTCGTTGCCACGGCATTGACAAAAGCCCGGAGAGGTGAGCCCACCGTAAAGCGGGTGCGAAAAATTACTCTGCACCTGCAGAATCGTCTTAGAAATATTTGCGAGGGCTTGCATGTACATCCATATCTACCAAGACTGCTGAGCTAATGGGGGACTGCATTCGCTTCTAATCAATCGATAAATAAACTTGTTTCTATTAAAATCAACAAACCATGCGCCTGTCAGATTTAATTTATCGTTGCCTTTTTGTGTCGCACGCATGCACCTAAGTCGTCCGCACTCGTGTTAAGACCAACATGAAATTTTCTCGTGGTGAGCTTTTGTCCGGGTCTCTGAAAATATGGGTGAGCTTTTGTCCGGGTCTGTGAAAGAATGGGTGAGCTTTTGTCCGGTGAGCTTCTGTCCGGTGAGCTTTTATCATGTGAGCTTTTGTCCGGGATTCGTATTTGGGATAGTAAGAGGACGGTGCAAAGAAGAAGGATGCATGTGTGCTGGATACCTTGTAGAAGCCGCCTCCCTCACTACCAATGCCCCGCAGTTGAAATGTGGGTATTGTCAGCACACACCTTCAACTCATGGGCACATGGGGACTTTTGGTAAGTGTATGGTCTTCTTCCACAAGCGATTGGCAAGGTTATATTTGAAGACTGTGTCGACCGCGATTCCCAACCGCAGGAACATAACCGTAATGTGACGGATTTTCTGTTTTGTTTGACTAGAGCGTGAAAGCTTCTGTTGGCGGTTAGTACTACGTTTCCCTCGATTGTTTAAGCTCTTATTTACCAGGGGTCCATATCATATACGCGAATAGGAATCATTTAATCGAATGGACGTTTTCGCGAATGACGGTTAGCGGATAGGCTATTTCTAGGCGGCGGGCGGCACGCTGTAGAGACGTTTCGTCGCGCGTTGTATCATTGGAACGCACGTTAAGCCATGAAAAAAAAAAAAAAAAAAAAACGGTTACGCCGCTTTGCGGTGACACACAAAACGGCTCTTTAAAAAAATAAAAAAAAGGAAGGAGAAAAGACGCTAATCCGAGTTGGTCGATGCAACGGCTTATTGCTGCTCGTAGGCGGAGGCACGTTGTAGGGACGTTTCGTCCCGCGTGTATCACTGGGCGCCTATTATCCATTGACCACTCATCCACGCCGCTTCATAGCGGCAGACAAGGCGGTAGATTACAAAAAGTAGGTAATCCGTTGTGTCGATGTAAGTAGACCCATTCGCTAATAGGAACGCCATCATTGGATGAAACCTCGTAATTTCGTTTTCATCCATTAAAACATCGTTCGATCAAGTGAATACCTCCCGGGTTTTACGCTTTAGATGTTGCATCTTTAAAATGATTGAAGTTATGCTGTGTACTTCATGTTCACCTTTCGAAATTCATGGGACTATAGTTTGATTTGCACACTTTTAAGAGAAGACGAATTAAACCAAATGTATCTTGCATAAAGGGGCGAATATATTCAGTCGTATTTTAAATAACACTGAGACTAATGTACTTGTGTCGTTCTCGACATTGATGCGGTGGGCGCAGCTTTCCGGGTTTCCTATGTGTCTTTGTCAGTGCCGGCTGACTTTTCTTTAGGATACGCAAGTTTGCCGGTATGGTAAGCCTTATCAGGAAGACGAGTCGCTCTTTTAATAGCCTAGTAAGGTTAGGATCTGTTCAGGTCTCGTGATCCGCCTCGATGCCGTGGCTAGCTAATTATTTCGTTGACTGTATCCGCTGTTTATTATTGATGCCGAAGTGTCAACACATGCTGGGTACACCCAACTGATTGAGGTTTGTGGCTATTGTGCGCCAGGAAATTCTGATGTGTCCGTTGTTAGTCTAGAGATGATAGTTTGTAGGCAGTGTGGGCGGAATTTGTATAACTGAGGCTGGCAGGGTTGACATGTGCTGGCTCATCGCAATACCTCGTGTTCCCGCTCTATTTACATGAAGTATCTGGCTACAATGGGCGAGGTGCTGACTTGTACATTCAGGAATAAAGAAAAAAGTGCAGCATGTAATGACATTTTGATTTTCCTTTTTTTTAAATTTTGCTAAAAAGGTTGTTTTCACGAGAGGGTGAGGAGAGGTACAAAATATTACGCTTATTGCGTTATTTTTTATCTTGTCAAGTTACTGATCGTTTGAGCGGCAGTGGCGCAGACAAAATAACTGTTTATACTCCGACGTATCGTCAATGAGCATCCACGCTCTCTTCTTCACTTCGCTGGCTCATGATCTCACGTGCAGAACGGTGTTGGCGTCAGTTAGAGTAGCCTTAATTAGCTCATCGCTCGTCGGCGATTGAGTCGAACATGACTTAAGCAGGAGTCATTTTTCTTGCTCATCAGGGTACAAGATTTCGTGACGTCACGCTGCACACACACTCGCCACGCGACGCACTTAGTTGCTGGGCTGCAAACGTTAAATGAGTAGTAAATCAGTTTATTTAAAACGCATTCGCTGCGAAAAGCCATCGCTCAAGTATTCCATTTATGTTAAAAAAAAGCTGGTGACCGTGCTTTTGGGTTGGTATCGCCACCATTCCAGTAAGGACCGCTAATGTATGCTGATATTGACAACCATGCACCCCTTGGCCGGCCGCCCGGACGATCAAGTTGTAAGAACATACACTTAAGCTCGTATATATATATATTTTTTTTTTTAATTTTACGATAATATTTTGTTGGCCCTCGTTACAGCACGCCAAAGAGGTCACACAAAGGGAAATTCACATCACGCAGGCGTGTCCACCAGATGCAGATGAGCGCGGTTTGACGAGGTGTTGTACATGAGCTACGGAGTTTCGAAACCATGAGCGAAATTTACGTGATAAACAATTTTGAGGCAGTTCAAAGCACGAACCTAGCTGAAGGCAGACGTAGTAGGTACGCTTGTTTGTCTCACGGTGGCATCCGATTGCCAGGGCGACGATCCTGACGGCGCCAAAAGTCTCTGTGGGCCAAATAGCGCTGCCTTGGTTTTTTTTATACACTTTCCGTGCAGTAGCCGTTCGCAGCGACGAGAGATTGACCTAGCTCAACGTCAACGTTCCACGTAATAGATTCCCTACCTTTGAACCCATACCAAGTGATGATTCAAATTTGCGTAGACAGCTGACATCGATGAACGACGACATCGGTAACAAGCCCCATGCTCGGACTCGTCGGCGTTTTTCATAGAGGCCTGCTAGTTCGTAGTTCAGATTTCAATGTCGAATTCTCCATACACTCACGGTGCTTGCAATAACTTCAAACAGCAGAGAAACCTATTCACGATGGAGTTCAAGCCGCACACCAGACCGACACTACCAAGGTGGTCGAATAAACGCTAGCCATAACTGGTTCCTCGCCGCATGCAGCGCAGCTCGTCCCGTGATGCTTTCTGGATCGGTTAGATCGAAGCGACTTAGCGTCACTGTGACGTAAGGACGAATGCGACTGGTCGCCAGGTAACCATCGCGCGGTGCTCGTTTTCATTGCCTGTGTTTGTCCAGCTTTACTCGGCGAAAGAGCAACAAAGCTGGCAGCAAACAGTGATATGACTAAAGAACTGGATAAAGCCCGTGCGACCGTGCTGTATGAGGCTCGCAAACGTCACTCTTCTTTCGCACATGACAATATATTAGCGAAGTTATTAAGATAGCGCGACCGCTCTGGTGTGAACTTGACCCCTACTTCTTTACTAACTATTTGCTAATATAAGCCTCCAATTACATTATATTAAATGCATCTTAAATACTTCAGATGAGTTAATAATAGATTTTTTATCAATTGCGTTAGGAAAAAATTTGACAGACGGCGGAGTAATCTAATGCTTAATAAAACCACATAAATACATCCAACATGCTCCGCCTATCGTTTATAAAGGATGTGAGAAGAGGAAACGACGTCAAATATTACCCTGCGATGTCCCAATTCTGGTGTCTTAGGGGGCTTCTTCTTTGACACAATTAATATTTTTTTAAGAAAGTAACTTTTCGCCAAGCACAAGCCTGCTTCCTCCAGAATTGCATGGGGCAGCTCAAGCACTCCCTGGTTCATCTGCAGGTAAGTAACCATGTTGCCGAACTGCTCGCACGGAACATTTGATATAAAACAGTTCCACCCAAAGCAGTAATGAATCTGAATATTTTTTTTTCCAATTTTGGATTCAGGCTTCTCATTATCGCCCCCTATTGAGGTCCAGTGTCACGCCGCGTGTGGTGTCGGAGCGGAAAACACGTCCCACGAGTCTGGTTAGTAAACTATGACATGCGTCGCTCTTCTGTCTCTAACATAAGTTATACAACAGACAGGGACCAAACAGCACCTGCGAAAGAATTTGTCCCCAGATCAAACCGGGCTCAGGTCCAAGGTAGGAAAATTTGCTTAGTATGTTACCTGACGATTCAGAATTTCCGTTGCGTTCATTGTGCGAAAACTGTCTGGTTGAGCGTTTGGCATTTTTTTTTAACTTTTTCTCATTATTTTCGCAGGAACTCTACTGGTACAGCCTCAAGACCTCCCTGGCTCCAGCACTGGCAGCAGGAACCTTCCCCAGACTAAGGTTGCTCGCCATATTTATGTTGAATGCAGATTTTCAACAAAATTCTTTCAAAGATTTCGACAACACATGAGAGAATGTCATGATGTCAGATCCGCTGTAAAGTGCAGTCTCTGTGGCTCAAGGTTTCTGCACATGTCGCAATACAAATGACACTTTGATGTGTGTACCTTGCAACAACATGACGAAGAAATCTTGTGTGATGTTGATGATTCTGCTAATCAATTTGACCACGCTTAACGGGAAGGTAGTGTGGTTGAATCAGATCCCAACATTGAAGCAATAGTTTCCAACTTGTGCAGAAAGCTTGAAGGACACCACAGATGCTCAAAGACTGCCGTGGACACGGTTGTCAGCAGTATGAAGGACTTGTTTGAACAGATGAATCTAGGTGTTGACATCTCGTCACTGGAAAGTGACTGTACAAGGAGGGCACTGTATGAGTCACAGGGCATTTACTTAAAGCCACAAGAACTGACGTTGCCATCCGGGGACAAGGTATACTATATCCCGTTGATGAATATACTAGAACATCTTTTGAAGCATCGTCTCTTTGAAGAATATTTTCAAACAAATTTGCTTCCTAGTTCCGACGGAGTGTTGAGGGACTTTAAGGACGGCTTACGTTTTCAGCGGCACCCTATTATTCAGAAGTCCGGGAGTAACGCGATCACAATCTTATTGTATTGTGACGACATTGAAGTTGCAAATCCTCTTGGAATGAAACATGGATTCCGGGGGAAACTGACTATGTTTTATGTTACATTCGTAAACATTCCGGCATCAGAGAGATCTAAACTGAAGAATATATTCCTATTAGCGGTAGGCCATGCCAAAGCACTGAAATCATGTGAGGCAAAAAGTGCTCCGCTTCATGATTTTATTGCGACGGTTAATACGTTGGCGAGGGGCTGCGAAATAGAAACAAGGACGGGACGAAAACTGTTTTATGGCTGTCTGCTAGCCTTCATCGGAGACTCTCTGGCTTGCCACAATATGGGCGGATTTAAAGAGTCATTCAGCCCAAATGTGCGTCTTGCGTGTCGGACGTGCAATGTGCCAACAGCGTCCCTGTTCAAGTATCACTACAATGCGCAATGTCCACCTCGTACGGAGGAAGAGCTTAGCCGCCAGTTGAAACAATTAAGCGATGCAAAAAACAAGAAAGAACGGAGGCAGTTGTCTACAGAGTTTGGTTTGAGCTCCAGATCGGTTTTGTCAGAGGTCAGTCATTTCTCTTTGATCTCTGACCTTTTGTATGACCCGATGCACGTGCTTTTAGAAGGAGTTGTTCCAAAGGAGATCTTCCTTTTTGTGCATTTCATGGTACGAGAAGCGAAGTGGCTCACTCTTGACGAGCTCAATGTGAGCGTGACTGAGTTCAGCTTTCACAGATCAATAAGTAAAAGCGATAACCCACGAGTGTTCGCCTCTGACCTCAGCATTGCAACGTCAGCGAGTGGTTCACTTGTGCTGCTCCTGCATTTGCCCGTGATTGTTGAAAGGTTTCTTCCTTCTGCCGAAGAACCCCATGTTAAGTGCTTCTTGATGCTGTCAGACATGTACAAATTACTCAAAAAAGGTAGTTAAATTAAGCTACTGAGTATCGACGCCAAAAGTAATTGGAGTAGAGTAGAAATTACGCATTTGTAAAAATAATTGAGCAAAGTACTAACTACTCCAAAAAGTAGCGAGTTACTTTTAAGTTACATTCGAAGTTACTTTTTTTATATTTTTGTGGTAGCAAAACGAACAGCAGTTTTGGTCAATGAAAAACCCTGCGAGCCAAAAATAAATGCAGTCTATTTATAGCTTGCGTTTTCGACAAAATAGTTTATTCGCTCGCAGAAGCAATTGACTTTCAAAGTTTTTGATAGGAGAGTTTTCCTCTTTTCCTTTTAATGACGTCCCCAGCCGAGGTAAATAGACGTTCCACCGTGGCACTGAATAGAACGTCAGCGTTGAATTTGCGAAACAGGCTGTGCAGGGTCGGGTAAGCGAGTGTCGGCATCTTAGGTTTCCATGACGAAATATGTGAGGTTTGCCTCGGGTAGGAAGGTCTTTTATAACAAACTTTCCTCCTTTTTTCTTTTTTCTTCGTCAAGTTGAGATTGTTGTGACTTGCCCCTCTTTATTCCGACGTCGTTCTGAGAGTACGCTGAGCGAGTGCACTAGACCGTCAAGGGTTTAAGTCTCGCGCCACGACGATGAGATCATCCGGACGACCGCGCGTCCCGTTGTAGTGCTAGTACTACGCTACTGAAAAAAGAAATGTTTTGGTTCAACAGAAGATGAACCGAAGTATACTTCGCCGCTGACGCCGGGTCCAACAAAAGGATCTCCCAAGGGTAACTCGCAATCCTCGCCGGCGACTACAATATTCTGACGCGCCTGACACGCCTGACAAGTAAAGGCCCGTTCACACTCTTGTGACCGAGTACGACTGAGAGAGACGAGATCTCTTACAACTTCTTAAATGTTTCTAGAATGATGACGTTGTGGCGCCATCTATGCGGTCACCCTGGAACTGCATTTCACAAAAGTGAAGGTTTTGCGGGATTTCCGAGGTCAAATGTGCGTAATACCCATAGGAAGGCTCGTTTATAACATTGACAAAAGTTTTTCGAGCCAAAAAAAAAAGGATATTGCGCGAGAAATAAAAAAAAAAAAAATATGCCGGACCGCCGAGTTTACACTGCTTCCCAATAGATGTCGCCAGTGTGTTCTCTGGTTTAAGAAGTTTTAAGGAACCCAGGTTTAAGAGGTCGCAAGCAGTCGCAAGAGTGTGAACGAGCCTTAAATCGTTTTTAACAAAGAGGAGGTCTCCCAGGCATGGATGGTCGGAAGGACACGAAGGATTACGTGAACAAGCATCGTCGCTCGTATACAGTTACAGCTGGAAGCGGGAACGTGCTCCCACGAACGGATTATCCGTGCCAGGGTTTGTGCGCGGGGGAGTCCGGCTTTGCAAAGGCGTATGCGCTGACGACAAGGCGACCATGGGAACAGGCGCCCAGCTGCGAGGTCATTCCAGTGGCGCCTCCCGTGGAACCTACCGCTTGAGTAAGAACTCTCTAAAGACAGACTAAAACTCTCAGAGTGTCCCCGTCTTCCACGGTTGCAGCTGGAAACGCGGCGCCTGCGTGCATTACCGGATTAGGTCAATACCCGACCAAGGCTTGTTAAGCATCTCTTCCTGCGTTCTTGCGTGCCGGTGTTATGTTTTGGCTGCTCGTCGCCACCTTCACACAAGGACGCCTTCCCGAACAAGGGGGCCCCTTGTTAGGGAATGCCACTTCATCTGCCGGCGTCTTATTCATTTCTGCGCTCAAACTTTCGTGATGGGCAAAATTAGCACTATATAATTTCGAAAGTAGTTAGTAATTTGAGTAGAAGTTACATGAAAAAAGTAGTTAAATTAAACTACTAATTACCCAAATCAAGTTGTAATTGAAAGTTACCAAGTTACTTGAAAAAGTAGTTAAACTACAGTGCTTGAGTAGAGTAGTTGAACTACGTCCAAGTCTGGATGCTGTGCATTTTAACCCAGATGGTGCTGTCACCCATCATTACAGTAGATACACTGACCCTGTTGGAGTCTCTTATCGCTCAATACAACCAGCTTTTCGTAGATTGCTATGGCAGCACTGCATTCATTCCAAAGCTGCATATGATCGTTCACATTATTGAGCAAATCAAACGCTTTGGGCCCTCCCGCCATCATTGGGCTATCCGGTTTGAGGGTAAAAATGCACTGCCTAAAGCTAAAAAGTTCAGGAACTTCAAAAACCTGCCGCTTTCTGTGAGCGAGTACCTTCAGCTTAACACTTCGTTCGAACTCTGGGACGCGAACGGATGTCCAAAGGAGACATCACCTCCGATAGCTGCTTCGGGAAAGCCATTTGTATTAACGACCGACTTTCTAACTGCCGGATTGGATGATAGTGATCTTGGAAAAACTGCCCTAGAAGTACAAGCAACCGTAATTGATAGTGTCCCTCTCAAAGTGTCGGATGTGATGATGATTGGCAAACCATCTGAGCGACCCGCCTTTGTAAAGGTTCTTAGCATTATTTTGTGGAAAAGCCAGATATTTTTTGCGTGTAGGGTTCAAGTGGCTGCTAGTTTTGTTGCTAAATTGAATATGTTCATGCTGCATGAGACTTCACACTGGGTGATAATCACGACTGACTCTTTATTGTACCCGTGGCCCGTGTGGACGTACACTGTGAACAAACAATACTGTTGCATACCAAAGTGTTTACATGTCAATCCTGATTCCATGTAGGAATGGCCTCTAGAGCGATTGCCGGAGTTCTCTCAGACTGTTCAGCCACTTCTTCGAGGTAGCCCTATGAGTGCGAAAGAACACAAGAAAATGTGCCGGCAGCTCGGAGATGAACTGTTGTTTTTCTTGGAGTAAGTGTCTGCCAACAATGATATTTTCACGTTTGAGTACATTTGGTAATCAGTTGCTTCATCATGTAAGCCAGAATACGTCAGCCAAACTTAAATTTAACCCAGGACCTTCGCAAATAAAAGCCTGGAAAAATATATTCAATATCATCTGCTTACTTCCGCAGTGAAAATAAGCTGGTTACTACCAGGTCAAAATCTCAGGAACGCTGGGAGTATAAGTCTTTGGGAGATGCGCTCGCCACAAAGTTTCCATCTCTCTCATGGGAAAATCCGGACCCAGGAGCGAAGGTCTACCAGAGAAGGAGCCAAATCTACGCAGGTTTATTGTAAAAAGACTTAGCGGGACATTTGTAACAAAATGGTACCTGTGTTGCAGACTGTGTTCATGAGGAAGCTTACAACTACGAGGGAAGTCCGGAGGTACAGAGAGAAAGCAGCTACTGGGTGATTTCAGATAAGATCGACCAAAGGGTGGCTGGTCGACATTTTTAAATCAACTGATGTTTTTATATGACATTGTCTAGTGTCTGGTATAAACGAATCCACACTTAGTTTTGACCAGAAAAAAAAATTTGGAGACAAGAAAAATCGTAAGGCAGGAAGAGGTGGACAGTTGCATTAACGCGCACTGATGGAGGGGGCAAGTTTGAAAGTGAATAATTAAAACAATAAAATTAGGAGAATTTTAAAACTTTTTACAAACAAACTATGGGTACAACTTGCTTGTAATATAAAGTAATAATATTTATTAAAAATTTATTTAGTTTTCTAAAAATTGCCAAACATGCCTGCTCGAACGACAAATGGCAAACTTTGGAGGTCTGTATCTCATGAAATAATTTAATCATTATTACATAACTTGCAGACATTATTTTACTAGTATATGGCTATTATTGAAAAAATAAATAAGGTATCTGAGTGACACAATAGTTACGATATATTTAGGCAAACATGGGAAAAAAATCAAACAAAGAAAAATTCCGATGCGAATAAAAAAAAAAAACACCACCTTCGATTTTTTTTAAATTTGGGTACCCTTTTATACTCTATCTCGGCATTCATTTCTATTAAAAACATGTTGCATCATTGCACTGTGAAAGAAGAAACAACTCCCCAAAGTAGGGTCCTTTTTCAAAGCCTACACTTAGCAGTGTCCTATACAAGAAGTGACTCTGAGTTCCAGTTTCATGAAACTTGCACAAATCTTTTATATACATTTATTCAGATGAGGTCATTGATAAAAAGACCGATCGGTCACACAGTAAAAGGGAGGAGAAACTATATACAGCATTTTACATAAGTGTACAAAGTGGTATCATATTAGAGACTAATGATTTGAGAAAAGATGATGAAGTGTGAAGTTGTACCTTCCGGTATATTTTACATCTAGAGTAAAATAAATAACTTTACTTCCACACACAAAAACAAAGATATAATAGTAAGATATTTAGGTTGGCTGTGTATTTACGATTACAAACAATTTCAGGTGACGGATGCCATAGTGCCTTACTGGAGCAGCTTCGATGCTCTCGGTGTATGAATGAATCGTGGCAAGCCGATATATTTTATCCTGCTCGAGGATAACATTTTGGGATTTTTTTTTATAGTGATCAGATAAAAATTATTAGTAACCACCAACAAAAACGGTAGGTTAAATACCCCGTGAAGAAAAATGTGATAAATAAGATGTCCCTGCATTCAAAATGAGCAGTCCTTGGGAAATCAAATTCGGCACTTTACGCTAAGGTTTTCCTCGCTGTACCCATTTAATAAAGTTGCTTCCAAGCAGATCCGACTGTCCGTGCTACATATACGTCACAGGTTCCTTCTGCTGATGACTTGCTGAGCAGCCACGCGTGCCAAGACTGAATGCCAGGGAAGGCGCGCACCGTCAGCCACTCTTCTTTTTTTTGTTCACGATACCGAACAACCTCATTTTCGTCCAGATATACAAGATGCACGCCTTTCAGTTTCTTTGATAGAACGCTCACCATTGTCCTGGCCGTCTGAATTGCGCTTACTGAACGTTCTCTCGGGTTGTTCAGCGTGGCCTGGTGCTTCACGAGTCCGCCAACTCCGTCACATGCATTTTTCCCATGTCCAGATGCAGAAAATAACCACTGGGCTTGTGGGCAATCGTCCTTTGCAAATTGGTGAAGCTGGTAGCGATTCTTGAAATGACTGGCGGCGCCGTCACTTACGTACGTCACATACGAGTATACCGCAACGTTGTCTTCAACCCACTCCTTCCCTTTTTCTAGAGCCAAGCAAGCGTGAGCGGCGTCTTGACACAGGTCCTCACTGATGATGGCAAAGCTGTTTGTAGATTTTCTTGTCGTCACTACACATGTGAATATCGAAACTTTTTTTTTTTTCCAGTGATATGCTTGCACTTCGTCAGGAAGCACGATGGTCCAGTTTTCAGCAAAGTCAAAATGAAAGACAATGCTCCCGCGTTGCATGCACTGTTTTTCATCGTAGATCGCTTTACCTTGCGTTTGCCGGATATGGTTGTGAAGTACCCAACTTCCAACCGTCACTTGAATGACTTTTAGGAAAGTCTCAGGTTCCAAAGTTTTTTTCACAAGGTCGCCGGACTCCCATGTTGCAAGCACAATCTCTTCATCCTCCGGGATATCAAGTTCCTGGAGTGTAAGAAACTGGCCTTTTGGGCAGTGATCACAGTCTCCTTGAAGGCACAGTTCTGTTGCTGGGTCGCACAGAAATGCCGAGTTCATTTCACCAGTGTTGAATGTTGAGCCTGTAACGTTCTCTAGAGCGGCAATACAAAGATAATAATTGGCGCAGCGCACACAAACGCACACTTCCTGGTGTGGAATACATTGGACCCACCTAGGGCGCAACGAATAAAATTTCGTTAGCCCAACGCCGGAATCGGGATGCTTGTCTTTGTATATACGGAAGGCCTCTCGTATTGAGCGTGTCATGAAGCGCTTTGGCACGAAGGTTTTCTCTCCGTTGAGCATGACAGAGATGACGTCCTTCTGGTTGGGACTTTGGCGCGAACATTGTAGCTCGTCTTTCGTGAAGTACTCTAGGGCAGCAGACAGGTTCTCATGGCTCACCTTGCACCTCGTGTAAGGATCCGGCTCATACCACACGCCATGCTTTTCCTTGAGTTTTCGGGATTTACTGATGAGGTACATTGAGGCCTGTGGAATCATCTTTTGATTCTCATTCTTCGTCAGTGTTGACGGCAGGAGTGTAAGCAGTTGACAACGTTCCCGGAGAGAGGTGGCGGTTTCAAAGGCCTGCCGAAAGTTGTCCACCCACTCAGTGCATGTGGAGCATGTTGGTTCGGACGACCCCGATGGCGCGTCCCTGTCGTACGCAATACGTAGCCTTGAGCGTATATTCTTGACAGCAACCTGCTCCAGTTCTGTCTGCTTTCTCTTGACATAGGCAGGCCTGTCCCGACTTCTTACGACGCTTGGTTGTCTCAGCGGCGACACATCTGTAAGTAGTATGCTGCGATTTAGATCTTCAATTGCTTCTTCAGCTGGCACAAATATGTCAGGGCACTGCTCTGAACTTCGCATCGAGATCTCCTTAGTGATGTGCATGAAGCAATGGTAGCACAGGTAGTCCGTCGCACTCACTTTGGTGGAACAGTCAGGCGGAAGAATTCGCTTCAACGAGTTTAGGTCCAACTCGCCAACACTTCGAAAATTCCGCTGCTTTGGTATAGTCTTTTTGTGTTTGCAAAAGTAATCTGCACAAAACACTCGTTCGGAGCTCCAGGACGTCTTCATAATGTATACATAAATAATAGAAATTAAACCCCAACTGATGGCATATAATTGCCAAGTGAAAGAACTACTGGGTGGACAAGTAACAAGTCCGAGGCTGAGGAGCTCACTCACTGCAAACGTACATTTGAAAAGAGAGGTCACATCTGAGGCTGTCGGCAAAGCTTGATCCACGTCAAAGGAAGAAAGAGGGAAAGTCTCCAGACAAAAAATTGTGGTCAGCGGCCTTCGAAAAAGACTTTCCGGAATCGCACTGTCGTCCCTCCACGCGCTGATATGAAAGCACCCGAGCTTCTACCACGTGGTTCATGACACAGCCTGAGCCATGTCGGCGACCGGTTTGCGAGGGGTTGGCGGTGGGGTTACGTTGATGGTCACTCGGATTAGCCCTTGCTGTACTGATCTACCGCATGCAGTGCCTTATCGCCAGCTGGTGTCAACAACGAGAACACACACACCCTGTCTACACCAAAACTACAAGCGTTCACCGCACACGCGTCGCCGCCGCTTTTAAGCTTTTGTGAAATCGCTTTCTCTTGCCGCGGAGAACCGCCTTATCTTAACTACGCGCCTGAAATCCTTCCAGGCGGGCGTACACAATATCAAGCGTTTCGAGAAATGCCCGTGGAGTAGAACTATGGGAAAATTCGGAGCCCGCGATGTCGATATCGTCGCCGTTGTGTTAGTACGCCGTCGCGTACTGCAGTCTCCCGTTGGGGGAGGGGGGGGGGGGCGGTCTTACTACGATAACATGGCGACAGCGTTTACACTCTATGTATTTACGCGAGGCTCGAGTATTTGGGGATAATGCTGCCGGTTGGTGTGCCCCTTTGTGCCTGATATTATCGCCCGTGACGCCAGCGAGTGAGATGGCGACAGGCATGACTGCTCAGTAGACAGGCGTCGGCGGCCATGTTTTGCTGGTTGAAGCGAACCCCCTTGTCCTTGACAGCGAGCGGGGAAATGCGAAAAAAAGATTGTATCGGCCGTTTTGCCAGAACTAGCGACGAGTGTCGTCTGCGGTTTCCGGCAACTATTTTGCCATAATCGTGAGCTTAGCGAGGAAATGATTTTTGCTAGCCACAGAACACTAGCACGCAGAAAGGGAATGCTTGAACATGTTTTTGTTCTGGATATATATCAGGGATATATATGAGAGAGAGAGAGAGAGAGATGAAGGTAGAGCGGAAGAGGGAATAGCATATAGTGTCGCAGGAGAATAAAGTAAACAAAGTTCCTAGTGGCCGATGGCTGCATGATCTTTTCTCGGATCACTAGTCCGTAATATGATACCTCTTTGTACACATAGTTTCTCCTTAATTTAAGTGTGTGAACGATTTCTTTAGTTATCATTGGCCTCATCTGAATAAAAATATATAAAAGATATGTGTTGGTTTCATGAAACTGGAACTCAGAGTCAGCTCTTGTATAAAACACTGCTAAGTGTAGGCTTTGAAAAAGGACCCTACTTTGGGGAGTTGTATCTTCTTTCTCAATAAAATGATGCAACATGTTTTTAATGGAAATGAATGCCGAAATAGAGTATAACAGGTTACCTAA